GTTGAAATGTTAGGTGCGCTTTTTTATGCGTATGCAGTTTTAGGTGTATTTATTAATATTGATAACGTATGTCGCTTATTTTATCACTACCTGAAAAACTATTATCATCAAAAGATTCTGCAGTCTTTTCTGAACACTTTTCATACTTTTACTATTTTAAAATTGCAATTTTAATGGTTGAAATGTTAGGTGCGCTTTTTTATGCGTATGCAGTTTTAGGTGTATTTATTAATATTGATAACGTATGTCGCTTATTTTATCACTACCTGAAAAACTATTATCATCAAAAGATTCTGCAGTCTTTTCTGAACACTTTTCATACTTTTACTATTTTAAAATTGCAATTTTAATGGTTGAAATGTTAGGTGCGCTTTTTTATGCGTATGCAGTTTTAGGTGTATTTATTAATATTGATAACGTATGTCGCTTATTTGATCACTACCTGAAAAACCATTATCATCAAAAGATTCTGCAGTCTTTTCTGAACACTTTTCATACTTTCAGTGTTTTAAAATTGCAATTTTAATGGTTGAAATATTAGGTGCGCTTTTTTATGCGTATGCAGTTTTACGTATATTTATTAATATTGATAACGTATGTCGCTTATTTTATTATCAACGGCAAAACAATTGTCATCAGAAGATTCTGCAGTCTTTTCTGAAGTTATTCTATACTTTGTCTTTTAAGTACTAAATGCCCAATACGAATATTCAAAATAATTTTTTCAAATAAATACTTTTTTGTAGTATTTATTTAATTTTACGAAAACCTTGCAGGCATTTCCTCATTTTTTAAAAATTTGCGTTTTTCTAGACTTATAGTGGTTTTTGTACTGTATCATCAGCTTGAAAGATTAAGTATGATTTATATTTTTCTGTTTAAAATGATTGAGATATAGTTTTTCTATCTTTGTATTATAGTTTCTTCAGTTTAGCAACAAATAATTCTTCTTGTCACCCGTTTTAATTGGAAAAAAGGCACTGATGCCAAAGTAGTTTGTTTAGTGTAAATGATCACAATCAAAATAGTGTTGCAAATAATTTTATTGATCAACATCAATCATTCTATATAAAATATTTACAATCCCATTTTGTTTCCGATCTTTTACACATTGTAATAAGAGAAAGAAATGGAATACATAGTTTTTTGAGCTTTGGATTCATCTAACAAGTGAAGTTTTTCGAATCGTTTTCTAAGGATTTTGGATTATACGCATTTATTAGCACACCACAATATCTTGTAGTTTTCGGTTTTACACAACTGTCGTATATTAATCAATATTTTGTCGTAATTGATAGAATTTCGTAGTTCCTTGCTACAGGTACGATAAGGGGTGATTTGCAGGTGCTGATATCAATTTAGAACTTTAAAATTCCATGGACCATGACATTGAACCCAAAAAAAAATATCGATCCAATATTTTAGATTATACATTTCCAAAAAGTTTAGAATTTT